ATAGATTTCAGGTTTTGTGGAACCTGGAGCTTATGAAATTTTAGACCTCTTTCCAAAAAAAAGTATATAAAATTCTGAATACCAAATTAGGTGCAGAAATGAAACACTGGGACACCTGCCCCCCGATGTTTATAGCAGCAATGTCCACAATAGCTAAACTGTGGAAGGAGCCTCGGTGTCCATCGAAAGATGAATGGATAAAGAAGATGTGGTCTATGTATACAATGGAATATTCCTCAGCCATTAGAAACGACAAATACCCTCCACCATTTGCTTCTACATGGATGGAACTGGAGAGTATTATGCTGAGTGAAATAAGTCAATCGGAGAAGGACAAACATTATATGGTCTCATTCATTTGGGGAATATAAAAAATAGTGACAGGGAATAAAGGGGAAAAGAGAAAAAAATGAGTGGGAAATATCAGAAAGGGAGACAGAACATGAGAGACTCCTAACTCTGGGAAACGAACAAGGGGTGGTGGAAAGGGAGGAGGGTGGGGAGTGGGGTGACTGGGTGACGGGCACCGAGGGGGGCACTTGATGGGATGAGCACTGGGTGTTATGCTGTATGTTGGTAAAATGAACACCAATAAAAAATAAATTTACAAAAAAATAATAAAAAATAAAAATAAAAAAGTGAAAATATGAAAAAAAAATTAGGTGCAGAGCATGGGAAGGAGTGGTGCAAGTGAGGAGGCCCTAAAGTGTACCTTCATAGCCTCCTGCTAAATCTATCTCTACCACACCCTTGCTTACCTTTTCTCCCAGGCCTCATCTCCTGTCTCTATCCAGCCCTCCTGGATGGACATGGCCCTACTTTTGACCTTCAGCATTCTGCTAGCACATGACTTCCAAGTCTCTGGGCCCCAACTCCATGCTTTGCCACAGGGAAGAGTATGCCTTCCTTGTGCTGGTCTGCAGCCCTGACCTGCGTCCATGTGGGCCCTGCCTGATGGGGAAGGCAACAGGCTGGACCAGAGAAGAAGTGTGGGAGGATGACAGGTGCTGTTGTTTTACAGCCTTGGGGATATTGCCATCCATAAGAGACATCACCGCAGCCAGGCAGAGCAGGCTGGTGGAAGATGGAAAACACTAGAAATCAGTCTGGGAGGCTCCACGACTCCCTCCCAACCACTGGTAGTGTTGTATCCTATCCCCTACCCCTGCCCATCCAAACACACACACAACTGGATGGGAGTAAACTCAAGATTTTGAGATCTTATGCAGGCACATGGATAATGAGCCACAAAGGTTGCTTTGTGATCTTCCTGCGTGGTTGTGGGAAATATACTGGGTTACTCACACATCCTTGGAATAAACCCTGTGATGTGGGAAGCTATTAAGGTGCCAGGGCAGTGAAGGCTGCTCAGGGAAGAGGACAAGAGAGCTGACTTGAAGGATAGAAAGGTGTCTCTCAGGCCAAAAGTAGAGACTGGTCAGCATTCCAGACAGCACCAAGAAAAGGCAGGGCAGGTGTCAGCTCAGAGTCACCTCAGGAAGTAGTGAAAAGGGCCAGCAAACCCACTTCAACTTTCAAAGAAAGCCCAGTGGCAGCCTGGTCTCAAGCAAACCCATTATGTTCCCCCACCCTGGAGCAGTAGAGTGGCTCCAGGTGGTAAAGCAGAGTCTGTGTGGCCACAGGGGCTGCCAGCCCTGTAGATGATCCAGGAGACCAGCTTTCAGGCCCAGAGTTAGCCCCTGGGAAGTGCATGGGGAAATTGGTAGGTACATCAGCATGAGATCATGAAATGTTTTCATTTAGACACCTTGGATAAACCTCAAAAAGGGAGCCAGCAAGGGAGGGAGCATTTTTTTAAGTTTAGAGAAAAAAAAAAAAAAAAAAGGTCGGCAAATTAGAAGAGCTCTGACAAGCTATCCAGCCAGGGAAGACGCAATTACAGAGCAATCAGCCTGCGCAGAGATTTAAACACAGCCTATTGTGCGGTCCCGCTGCTAGGGGAGGACAAAAGGGAGCCGACACAGCTGGAGATAATAGCAGGCGCCCCTGCACCTCACTGGGGAGGCCGAGGCAGCAGCCAGCACGTGGGTGTGCAGCGGGTCTCTGAGGGGGCCACCAGGGGAAGACACCCAGGACCCAACTGACCAAGTCCACCCCGCCCCTGGTGGTAGCCCCTACACAGCACAAGTTGGAGGCGACGCAGATGGTTCCTGGCAGGTGTGTGTGTCGGGACTCCCTAGCACAGCTGGGACATAGCTGCAGGACTGGTCACCTGTTGTAGAAGAGGTGGGACAGCACCATTTCCCCCTGGGGAATTTTTTTAGTAACCTTCAAGCCCTGTGCACTCTCCAGCACTGCTTTCTTTTGGTTATGGTTACATAAGAAACTTTTGGTAGCCCAAGGGAGAAGTAAAGCATAGAATCTGGAATTCCAACAGACCTGGCTGGCTTCCAGGCCCATCTTGGTAGCCCTGTGGCCTTGAGTCGGTCACTCAAATTTTCAGAGTCTATTTCCTGATCTTAAAATGAGGAAAAGAATAAAAACCATGTCCAGGGTTTTAAAAACAAACTTTTTATGTTCGGATGGATTTCGGTTTACAGAAAAGTTGGTAAGGTAGCACAGAGAGTACCCATATATCTGAACACCCAGTTTTTCCTCTTAATATCTGATATGATACATTTGTCACCAGTGAACCAATAGTGATATATTATTAGCTATAACTCATACTTTAGATTTCTTTTTTCTTCCTTTTTTTTATAAATTTATTTTTTATTGGTGTTCAATTTGCCAACATATAGAATAACACCCAGTGCTCATCCCGTCAAGTGCCCACCTTAGTGCCCGTCACCCAGTCACCCCCACCCCCCGCCCACCTCCCCTTCCACCACCCCTAGTTCGTTTCCCAGAGTTAGGAGTCTTTCATAGCAAGAGAAAAAACAAGAACCATATGATCCTCACAATAGATGCAGAGAAAGCATTTGACAAAATACAGCATCCATTCCTGATCAAAACTCTTCAGAGTGTAGGGATAGAGGGAACATTCCTCAACATCTTAAAAGCCATCTACGAAAACCCCACAGCAAATATCATTCTCAATGGGGAAGCACTGGGAGCCTTTCCCCTAAGATCGGGAACGAGACAGGGATATACTTTAGATTTCTTTAGTTTTTATCTAAGTTCCTTTTTCCATTCATATTTCCGATCCTGTATTTTACTTAGTTGTATCTCTTCTTGTCTGTGATAGTTGTTCAGGTTTGTTTTTGTTTTTGATGACTGGTGAGGTATTTTGCGGAGTGTTCCTCAGTTGAGATTTGTCTGGTGTTTTACTCATGATTAGTGTGGGGTTGTTTGGGGAGGAGGACCAGAGAGATGAAATGACATTTTCGTCATGTCATAGCAAGGGTACATACTATTACCCTGACTGATCACGGTTGATGTTGACTTTGATTACTTGACTAATGCTAGGTTGCTTCTGTGGAAAGAAGTTGTATCATACTCTTTGCTCCCTTTCCATACTGAGCTCTTGGGAAGGAAGTCACTGTGTGTAACCTACACTTAAGAATCAGAGAGTTAGCTTCACCTCCTTGAGGGCAAAGTTCCCATATATCTATATAAATTATTTGAGATTCTTCTGCACTAGGATTTATCTTTTCTTCCTATTTCTTTATATCGGTGTGGACTCATGGATATTTTATTTTAGGTTATAATCCAATGCTACATTATTTATTTTTCTGCTCAAATTATTCCAGCTTTTGTTATTGGGCTTTTTGCTTTAGTTTTAATTAGGTTGTTTGTTTTCTTATCGTTGAGTTTGAAGAGTTCTTTGTCTATTTTGGACACAAGTCATTTATCAGATTTGTTTTGCAAATATTTTTCCAGGTCTATGGCTTGTTTTTTCATTTTCTGAATAGTGTCCTTCATAGAGTAGTTTTTATTTTAAGCAAGTCCAGCTTACCAGTTTTTTTCTTTCATAGATTGTGCTTTTGATGTGTCTAAATACTCATCAAACCCAAGTTTTATAATTTTGCATATTCCATTTCGGTTTATGATTCATTTTGAGTTAATTTATGGGTAAGGTGTAAGATCTGTGTCTGGATCTATATTTCGCTCTCTTTCTCCATTTGAATTCCTTTGCAACTTTGTGAAGAAACAGTTGACTCTAATTGTGTGGCTTTATTTCTGGGCTCTTGCTTTTGTTCCACTGATATGTTCTTTCATCAGTATTATGCTGTGTTGATTCCTGTAGATTTATGGTAAGTCTTAAAATCAGGTAGAGTGAGTTCTCCCAACTTTTTTTCAGGATTGTATTTGTTATTTTAGAGTTTTTTTGCTTTTGTGTTTGCCTCTCCATATTTATTCATCAGCTTGGGTACCATAAGAAAATACCATAAACCTGGTGGCTTAAACACAGAAATTTATCTTATCACAGCTCTGGAGGCTGGGAGTCCAAGATTGGTGTGCCAGCATGATTGGGATCTGGTGAGAGCACTCTTCCTGGTTTACAGGCAGCTGCCTTCTCACTGTGTCTTCAGATGGCAGAGAGCAAGTTCCCAGTTGTCTCTCCTTATAAGGACACTAGTCCTTTTGGACCAGGGCCCTACTCTAATGTAAGACCTTATTTAACCTTAATTACATCCATAAAGGTCCTTTCTTCACATATAGCCACACTGGGGTTAAGGTCGTGACAGATGAATTTTGTTAGGGACTCAGTATGGTTCATGGCATCACATAAATTTTATAGGTTGTTGATATACAGAATAGTTTGCTGGGATTTTGACTGGAATTCAGTGAATCTATAGGTCAAGTTGGAAAGAATTGATATCTTAACAATACTATTTCTCCATTTATTTAGATCTTTCATTTATTTCATTAGTGTTTTGTAGTCCACATATAGATCCTGTATGTGTCTTGTTAGATTTATATTTAGGTACTTTTTTTTCTTCTTTTTTTTTTTATTTTTGCTGCTCTTATGATCTTTTAAAAAATTTGGGGCGTGCTGCGGAGGAACGGCTGTTGACCCGCGGGCCTTCGCTCCCGGCTCCCGGCTCGTCGGCGGCTCCCGCTCTCTCCTCTCCCCCCCGTGAAGACACGGCCATGGCGCTCCGGGTCACCAGGAACACAAAAGTGAATGTTGAAAACAAGGCGAAGATCGGTATGGCAGGGGCGAAGCGGGTGCCTCTGGCCTCTGCTGCAGCCTCCAAGCCCGGCCTGAGGCCAAGAACTGCTCTGGGAGACATTGGTAACAAAGTCAGTGAACAACCACAGGCCAAACTGCCTCTGAAAAAGGAAGCAAAAACTGCGGTTCCTGGAAAAGTCATTGCTAAAAAAATACCAAAGCCTCTGGAGAAGGCACCTGAGCCTGTCCCTGTCCCTGTGCCGGAACCAGAGCTGGAACCTGAGCCGGTTAAAGAAGAAAAACTTTCGCCCGAGCCTATTTTGGAAGAACAAGCAGTCAAACCAAAATACCTACTGGGTCGTGAAGTCACTGGAAACATGAGAGCCATCCTAATTGACTGGCTAGTACAGGTTCAAATGAAATTCAGGTTACTGCAGGAGACCATGTACATGACTGTTTCCATTATTGATCGGTTCATGCAGAATAACTGTGTGCCCAAGAAGATGCTGCAGCTGGTTGGTGTCACTGCCATGTTTATTGCAAGCAAATATGAGGAAATGTACCCTCCAGAAATTGGTGACTTTGCCTTTGTGACTGACAATACTTACACTAAACACCAAATCACACAGATGGAAATGAAGATTCTAAGATCTTTAAATTTTGGTCTGGGCCGCCCTCTACCCCTGCATTTCCTTCGGAGAGCGTCTAAGATTGGAGAGGTTGATGTTGAGCAACATACTTTGGCCAAATACCTGATGGAGCTATCTATGTTGGACTACGATATGGTACACTTTCCTCCTTCTCAGATTGCAGCAGGAGCTTTTTGCTTAGCACTGAAAATTCTCGATAATGGTGAATGGACACCAACTCTACAGCATTATCTGTCCTACACTGAAGAATCCCTTCTAAACCTTACGCAACACCTGGCTAAGAATATAGTCATGGTGAATCGTGGGCTTACAAAGCACATGACTATCAAGAACAAGTATGCCGCCTCTAAGCATGCTAAGATCAGCACTCTGGCACAGCTAAATTCTGCACTAGTTCAAGATTTAGCCAAGGCTGTGGCAAAGGTGTAACTTGTAAACATGCATTGGAGTATTGTAATATCTGCAAATAAAATTGGCACCATGTGCCATCTGTATATATTATATGTTACCTTTACTTACTTTTAATAAAGCTTGTGGTCCTTTTTAAAAAAATAAAAATAAAAATAAAAATAAAAAATTTGAAATTCCAGTAGTTCATTGCTAGTATATAGGAAAGCATGTGAACTTGTGTTCTAAGACTTTGCTGTGCTCACAAGTTCTAGGAATTATTTACTTATTTATTTTAGGTTATCTGGTATTTACAGCATATCATGTTAGTAAATAAAGATAATTTGCTTTTTTATCTTTCCTTCCTTCCACATCTCTATACCTTCTGTTTCTTTTTTTTATCTTACTGCATTGGCCAGGATTTCCAGTATGATATTGAACAGGAGTGGTAGCAAAGGACATCCGTGACTTGTTGCTCATCTTAGAGGGGACACATCTAGCCTTTTACCGTTAAGTATGGTGGTAACTCTAGGTTTTTATAGATGTTTTCTATCAAGTTGAGGAAATTTGCCCTAATTCCAGTTTGCGAAGAGATTTTTTATTTTTGGGTGTTGGATTTTGTCCAGCGCTTTGTCTACATCAATTGATGTGATGATATGAGTTTTCTTCTTCAGCCTGTTGATGTACTGGATTACATTGATTGATTTTTATTTTTTATTTTTTTAAAGATTTTATTTATTTATTTGAGAGAGATAGAGGCAGAGATAGTGACAGAGAGCACAAGCTGGGAGGAGAGGGAGAAGCAGACTCCCCGCTGAGCAGCGAGCCCAATGTGGGGTTCTATCCCAGGACCCTGGGATCATGACCTAAACTGAAGGCAGACACATAACTGACTGAGCCACCCAGCATCCCAACACTGATTGATTTTTAAATGTTGAACTAGCCTTGCATGCATGAAATAGATGCTCTTTGGTCTGGAAGTATAATTCTTTGGTCTGGAATTCGATTTGCTACTATTTCGTTGAGGTTTTTTTGCATCTATGTTAATTGGAGACATTGGGCTGTAATTTTCTTTTAATGTCTTTAAACTGGTTTTAGTGTTAGAGTAATATTGATCTCATAAAACAAGTAGGAAAGTGTTCCCTTTGCTTCTCTTTGCTGGAAAAGATTGTGGAGAATTGATATTATTTCTTTTTTAAATGTCTAGTGGGATTAACCAGTGAAATAGCCTGGGCCTGGTGCTTTTTAATTCTTTTTTTAAAAAATTAATTTATTTATTCATGGGAGACACAGGGAGATAGAGGCAGAGACATAGGCAGAGAGAGAAGCAGGCTCCATGCAGAGAGCCCAATGTGGGACCCGATCCTGGACTAAAGGTAGACGCTTAACCGCTGAGCCACCCAGGTGTCCCTAATTCTTTTTGTAAGGTTATTAAATAGTGATTTGATTTCTTTAATAGATAATAGATCTATTCAGGTTTTCTGTTCTATGAGTTTGGTAGTTTGGATCCGCTAAAGAACTGATGCATTTCATTTAAGTCATTATTAAATCTGTGGGCATAGAATTGTTCTTAGTATTCTTTTTTTTTTCTTTTCATTTCTGATCATGGCAATTTGTGTACTCTTTCTCCCCTCTTATTAATCTGGCTAGAGGCTTACTGATTTAAGAATCTTTTGAAAGAACTACATTTTTTTCAATTTTATTGACTTCTACTCTAAATTTTATAATTTCAATTCTGCTTGCTTTAGGCTCCATTTGCTCTTTTTTTTTTTTCGTAGTTTCCTAAGGTGAAATCATAGGTAACAGTTTTAGATCTTTTTTTTTTTTAAATAAATGCACTTAATGGTATAAATTTCCCTCTAGGAAATTTTTGGATTACAGATTTAATTTCATTACTTGTAATTGGTCTATTAAGCTTTTTCTTTCTGATTCAGGCTTGGAAGATTGTATATTTCTAGAAACTTATCCATTTCTTTGAGATTATCACATTTGCTGGCATGTAATTCTTGTAATAGTGTCTCATAAGTCTTTGCATTTCTGTGGCATTGGTTATAAGTTCTTGTTTTTTTCTGAATTTCTTTATTTGGGTCTTCTCTCTTAAGAAGTCTGGCTAAAGATTTATCAATTTTGTTTATCCTTTCAAAGAACCAATTTTAGTTGTTTTTTTTAAGTCTCACATTTATTTGTGCTCTGATCTTTATTCTAATTTGGGGCATTGCTCTTCTAGTTCCTTTAGGAATAAGGCTAAATTGTTTATTGAAGATTTTTCTTGTTTCTTGATATAGGCTTGTATCACTGTGAATTTCCCTCTTAGATTTGCTTTTGAGATATCCCATAGATTTTGGAACATTTCATTTTCAGTTTCATTTATCTTGAGGTTTTTTAAAAAAATTCTTCTTTAATCCCTTCATTGACCCACTAGTTGTTTAGTAGTATGTTGTTTGGCTTCCATGTTTTTGTGTTTTGTTTTTTTTTTTCATTTTTTCCCCTTGTAATTGAGTTCTAGTTTAAGACATTGTGGTTAGAAAACATGCTTTGACATGGGTTCAATCTTCTTAAATTTATTGAGGCTTGTACTGTGTCCAAACATGTGATCTATCCTGGAGAATGTTCCATTTTTGCTTAAGGAATATGTATTTTGCTGTTGGATGGATGTTCTATATCTAGTATTCAGTCCATCTGGTCTAAGGTGTTTAAGGCCACTGTTTCCTAATTGACTTTTTTGTCTATATGATACCCATTGATGTAAGTGAAGTTTTTTTTTTTTTTTTTTTATTATAAATTAATTTTTATTGGTGTTCAATTTACCAACATACAGAATAACACCCAGTGCTCATCCCGTCAAGTGTCCCCCTCCGTGCCCGTCACCCATTCACCCCCACCCCCCGCCCTCCTCCCCTTCCACCACCCCTAGTTCATTTCCCAGAGTTAGAAGTCTTTATGTTCTGTGTCCCTTTCTGATATCTCCCACACATTTATTCTCCCTTCCCTTATATTCCCCTTCACTATTATTCATATTCCCCAAATAAGTGAGAACATACACTGTTTGTCCTTCTCCGATTGACTTACTTCACTCAGCATAGTGAAGTTTTAAAGTCCCCTACTATTTTTACATTATTGTCAGTCTCTACCATTGTGTATATTAATATTTGCTTGTTATATTTAAGTGCTCCTATACTTGGTGCATAGATATTTAGAATTATTACATCTTCTTGTTGAATTGTTCCCTTTATCATTATGTAATAGCCTTCTTTGTCTCTACCAATTCATATTTTCTCGATTATTAGTAAAATTGAGCATGTTTTGTAAGTTTATGGTCATTTGAAGACACTGTTTTATAAATTGCTTGTAAGAACTTTTTGTCTTGTATTGAGTTTTTTTACTTTTAAATTTCAGTTGTTTTGTAGATATTCTTATGTACAGTACAATGAACTTTTACTTATTAGATTTTTATTCAAGTAATCTCTACACCCATTGTGGGGCTCAAACTCACATCGCTGATCAAGAGTCATATGCTCTTATGACTGGGCCAGCCAGGCATTTTCTGATGTGTAGATATTCTTCAGATATTAAGAGTAAGAGACTCTTCGGGAGTAACTTGATATTTTCTCTGGCTGGTATTAAGATTTTTTTGTGTGTTTAGTTTTCAACAGTTTGATAATGGCATTCCTAGTTGTATCTTTTCATTAATCCTTAATGTGAATTTTATTTATTTTATTTATTTTTTTAAGATTTTATTTATTCATGAGAGAGAGAGACAGAGACAGAGACACAGGCAGAAGGAGAAGCAGGCTCCATGCAGGGAGCCCGATGTGGGACTTGATCCTAGCACTCCAGGATCATGCCTTGGGCCAAAGGCAGGTGTTAAACTGCTGAGCCACCCAGGGATCCCCTAATGTGAATTTTAAATCCATGATTTGATATCTTCATTAGTTTGGGAAAATTCTTAGTCATTTTCTTTTCAACTATTGCTTTTTTAAAAATAATAAATTTATTTTTTATTGGTGTTCAATTTGCCAACATACAGAGTAACACCCAGTGCTCATCCCGTCAAGTGTCCCCCTCAGTGCCCGCCAACCAGTCACCCCCACCCCCTACCCACCTCCCCTTCCACCACCCCTAGTTCGTTTCCCCGAGTTAGGAGTCTTCCATGTTCTGTCTCCCTTATTGCTTTTATCCTATTTTCTGTCTTCTTTTGAGACTTTAAGTTCATATTAGACCTTCTCATTCTCTATATCTCTTATCCCCTCTTTTGTACTTTTTAACCCTTTGTCTCTATTCCTTTATGTAAATTTTCATTATTATTCATTATCTTTGCTAGCATTGTTTAACCCACCTATTCAATTTTAACTTTCAATTATAATTTACTTTCATAAATTCCATGTTAAATATTTAGTTCTTTGCAGTATTTTTGGCTTCTTTTTTATATTCTTTTTTTTTAAAGATTTTATTTATTTATTCATGAGAGATACAGAGAGAGAGAGAGAGGCAGAGACATAGGCAGAGAGAGAAGCAGGCTCCTCGCAGGGAGCCCGATATGGGACTCAATCCTGTGACTCCAGGATCATGCCCTGAACCGAAGGCAGATGCTTAGCCGCTGAGCCACCCAGGCATCCCTTCTTTTTTATATTCGTGAACATGGGAAACAAAGTTGTTTTAAGGTTAAGTGTGATACAACTAGTATCTGGAGCCCATGTGGGCCTGATCTTATTGCTTGATTTTCTTGCTGATGTTGCCATGTAGTTTTATTTCCTCTTGTGCCTTATTTTTGAGTGTATGCTAGATATTGCATTTGCAGGATTTCTTTAGGTTCAAAATACTATCTCCTTCCAGAGAAGATTTATATTTGTTATTGCTAGATGCTTGGAGATACCAATGATTTGAGATCATTTTAATTGAATTTTAGGGTATGAAATTGCTTGACGTTGAGCCATAGGCCCTTAAGATGGCCTATATACTTCTGAGGAACAACCCACAACAATTCATTAGGCTTTTTCCTGTCAGTTTCTGGACTACAATTAATTCTCTGTCTCTCATCTTTGTCCCATAAGATTGTCAGAGGAATTTATCAGCCTTTAGTTCACCTCCACAGGAATTAGTAAACATCCCCATGGGAAAAGCAGCCCT